GTCTTATATAGCCCTTCGGGCTGAAAAAGGACGTTAAACTAGAATAATAATAATAATACATACAAGCGAGAGCCGCCATCCGACTAGTGTATTGTTGGAGCTGATATTGGAAACTATCCCCAAGATGCTGAAGCGATATGGAATTCTGGAAAATCAGACTCAAACTGATGAGCCTGACATTTGTAACCTTCATTTCATCTTGAGGTTTCCTTTTAGATATTGAAGGCAGTACGCAAAGCTTTGGTCACACTACGAAGAGCTTCAACCCCATCATCCAATAGAAGCCATATCTGTATGCATTGAAGTTTTTGAAAATCACTTAAAAAAGGGGAAAGTGCTTCTATGAAGTAGAAATGGGTTATATCCAAGGTGGAGACGTCACCGTCGCTGATATGCACCTGCAGCCCCTATTAGCATTTCGTATGACAATACATACATCACTCTAAGTTTAGCATGCTGCCACCCGAACCTGATGAATTGGTTCGATGAGTTTGCGTAGCCATTTGAAATATCCCAAGGGGTATGTACAGCGGTCAAGAACCCACACCTATGCAACCCTCCAGAATATTTGCCCCTAGTCAAGCCGTCGGTACAGATTGCATTCAACTAACATATTCGTCTTTATTCCTAAAAGCCATGACCAGAGATTGCAATTTCCTATCCTTAATGATAACAAGCACAATTATCTCAGGAAATTGAATCCAATAATTAAACAATGACGCTAGCATAGTGGAAAAAATACTTTTGCGGCAAAACATCCAGCAACGCATGTTTCAACGCATTTATGCGCTGTCCACAGCAAACCACCATTACAGCTGATTTAATTGGGTAGATTGACTGTATTAAGCCCCATGTAAGAACATGTAGATGGGCAAAGCCCTGTCCTGCCAATAAACGTCGCACAGTCTGGTTTTACACTTTAAGTAGGAGAATCAACGTACCACCATGCCTTCTAGCCACCAGAGCAGAAATCACACACTTCTCAGCCCTTTTTAAACCTACCAAGTATTAAAAGGTTTATCAAAACTGGACGCGTACACATGAACCCCTATAACAAACTCATTTCCTTCACGCAATCCCCCTCACCAAAGCAAACAGATATCGCATAGTGCACCCCACTGCAGTCCATTGTGCAAAACCAGGACTTCATTATTCAAACCTATTCATAAAGGCCCTTCCACACAACAACACACAAACACGGGAGTTTTTTTTCCTTCGACTATCCAATCACGCATTCCCACATACACACACCCACTCACCGCACGTGACTCCAACGCAACGTGTGTACGCCGTGAAGTTTACAACTCAGCACCTACGTAGCACATCGTGTCAGACGGCAATCCGTAACAGCGACTTGGGGGAGAAAAGGGAAAAAGTCGGGGTTTACGAGTGGAAGGGAGAGAGACAATTGAGGAACACGTAAGAATACAGGTAGTCATCTGCAAATTCACACACACACAAACACAAACAAGAAGTAATTAAGCAGCAGCATAAGTACATATACATAGATACTCTTACGCATAGCACAACAGCAAAGCATCCAAGAATCTCCCTCTTTATAACGTACAGCGAAGCTAGCAGCGCACAAGGACCGAAAAAAAACTCTAGAATATTCCACACACACACCTCTCCACAAACGCAAAACGAAAAAACACCAACCCATAAAACCAATTCCAATGCCGCTGTCCTATCCTTCCCTTCGCACCTCACATTCTACCCAGCAACGCTGTGAAACATTCCGCATGCACGCCCTCGACCGCACAATCTACCGCCTAACGTTTTTCCCGCGTCTAGCCGATAGCGACTACGAGAGCACTGTAAGTGAAGACGACGACGACGGCGACGAGGAATGTGAAAAAAGCACTGCACACGAGGGAAAGCAGCGAAGTGGGGAGTGTGGGGAGGAGAGAAGTGAAAAAAGCGGGATATATGGTGGAATGCGGTTAAAGAGGGGGTGTGAGGATGGAAAGGGAGAGTGTGGTGATGATAAGGGGAAGATGGAGGAGAAGAGGGGGGTGGTAGAAGAGAAGAAGGAGGAAGAGGTAGAGGCAGGAGAGATACAGCTAAGAAATCAAAATAGGTGTGTAGGGGGAATGAGTGGCATGATTGGATGGATGGTGAGGATATTAAGCAGTGATGGTGGTCATAGTAAGTTTGAAGGAAACGAGAAAGACATGTAGTAATGTTGTAAGCGGTACTTAGGCTGAATTCCCATCATACTAGCAGTACTTGGTATACTTCTTATTGCTTTTCCCCTGACATTTCTGTGCTTTTTCTGCTTTCTTTTTGCGGAATGGTCGTATTCAGATGATTGCATGGATAAGATCGTATTTATTCGTGCGCGCGCTAACTATGATGGTTGGAACCACTCCTTCATGATTGCAAGAGGCTAAAAATAAATGGTAATGGAGCCAAAGCCTATGCCCCTGCCAATCTTCCAATTGTCCAAGTACAGGGCTTTCAAGGGCCTCTAGGGTTGAGAGGTCTAATCTTAGCATCCTCTTCTAACCCTCATGTGTAGTCAACTACATGTTTGGGTCTTCTTCCCCAACCTCTTTCTCTTCTATTTCTCTGTCTCAAGATCTAGCCTAGAAATCTTTGAAGCTTGGTTCCCATCTGTCGCTCAATTCCTTGGTGTATGGCTCTCGGTTTTCTGACTCTGGCTCATATTCGTCAAAGTTGCGTGTATCGGCCGGTCCGCGCAGGTGTGGTACGATAGGACCCTGAACCTCGCGGTTGTAGAGCTTCACCCAATCAATGCCCTTGAACCACTCGTGTTGCTTGACACGCTGAGCACCACCAGCGACATTTCCCAGGCGCTTGGAGGTGTCGACGGTGCAGAGGCCAGAAATGAGGTCGCGTGCAGTGGGCGACATGGCCGAGGGAAAGCGGACGCGGCCCTCTACGATCCTGAGAGGAAATTAGCAGTTGCATCTTGGGACTTGGGGTTGGAGACGTACTGCTCGTAGATCTTCATGGGGTTCTGGTCCCAGAAGGGTGGCTGTCCAACGAGGAACTCGTACACAAGGATACCAAAGGCCCACCAATCGACAGCGGTGCCATGGCCTGCATTCGCATTAGTGGGGTACCAATGGCGTGTGTAACGCAGATCGTACCTGTGTTTCGAATGACTTCGGGAGCCAGGTACTCGGGAGTACCACATAGCGTGTATGTCTCTCCTAATGCGAGGTGTCAGTCTCCACTCCCCACACTGCAGGCTATGACGTAACGTACTGTTTTCTACCTTCTTCGCAAAACCAAAATCAACCAGCTTGAGGTGGCCCTCTGCATCTATCAGAATGTTCTCTGGCTTTAAATCACGGTATGCAACGCCTTCGCGCTCGTGCAGAAACTCTAGTATGAGGACGATTTCGGCAGCATAGAATTGTGATGTTGGCTCATTGAAGCGCCGCGCTCTTCGCAGGTAGCTGAAGACTTCGCCTCCGGGGCAGTAGTCGAGCTGCCCAAGATGTCAGCGGTGGACCAACAGTCGTCGACGTGTATATATGTGTCTGTGTGTGGCTACGTACCACCATGTAGAGCGAGTCGAGCGATTGGAAGCTGGCGACCATGGTTGTTATAAACGGGTGTCCTGCGACTTTGGCAAGCACGTTGCGCTCGTTCCGGACGTGCTCGACTTGCTTGAGGCGGATCACTGAGACAGGGTCGTTAGCAGGGCGGCGCAGGTGACAGGTTGAACCATGGGACTGCCTACCATCGACCTTGCGGAGAATCTTGAGTGCAAAAACCTTGTTCTCGTCGGCGGGCTTTGCGTTTTTTAATCGCACCAGCCATACGCGCGCAAAGGTACCTGAGGGGGGGGCCAGTCAGCGTCGGAGGGTCAGTTTGCTCGTGCCAGGGGCATGCGCACCGGTGCCGAGCGTCTTGATGAGCTCAAAGTCGTCCTCTCGCAGCACTTTGGACGAATGGCCAACGGGCTTCTTCTGCGGGTCAATGTCGATCTCGTCAAGGCTCAGCGTGTGCTTCTGGGCCTCCCATTGCGCCAGATGGTGCTTCTCTTCCTCGCGCGGCTTGTCCATGGCCGAATCAGTGCGGTCGTGCAGGGGGCCGGAATGCGACGGTTCTTTCTTGTCCCGGTGGTGCTGCATGGGGTGGAGCATGTGCTTGAAGGTAGTCGCCATGGCAATGACAGGAGCTAGCGCGCGCGACACAGCAGGAGAGAGCTATGAGCGAGCAAGGAGGCCGTTTCCGATCTTGGTGGGGGTTCAGTAGCAGAAGCACCACATGGCAGCAGACGGGGCAGTCGGCAGCGGGTCAATGGTGGCGGCGGCGGCGGCGGCGCTGTTGTGGTGGTTTTGCCGCAGTTGTTTGTGTATGGCGGGCAGACGAGGCGAGGATGGTGGATGGCGGGCTGCGGTTAGGGGGAGCAGGCGGGCATGGAGCAGGGCACAGTGACGGGCTGGGAGGAGGAGGAGGAGCTGGAGGGAGGGAGGGCGGGTAGGGCAGGGCAGGGTAGGGTGGGATAGGGCAGGGTGGGATAAGGGTAGGGTTGCGAGAGGGAGCGGGCGCGGGCGCGACAGGTGGATGGCGGGGGTAACACGAGGCGCATCACTGCAAAAGATGACGCAGCCGACGTGGGGAACTTGCAACACCGCCGACGGGGCGTGGATGGAGGGCCATGGGGATGCGTGGTTCGAGTTCCGTGGCCTGCGAAGGTAAGCCGGGCCGCCGTGCTCAAGGCCGTTTCTTGCTTCACTAATGCTAACGCGGCTCGTCGCGGCGTGGGCGAGCGGCGTGATGCAATGGCGGTCAGCCGCCCGTGCACATGCATCGATCCATGGACCGACACGGTCTGGAGTACTTCACACATGTGCAAACACTAATCGCGCAGGCACCGGCGATGATGCAGCGCCTCGACGGGCGGCGGGCGTGGGCGCGCCTGGCAGCTGATGTCAGGCGCGCATCCATACGTCCATTGCGCCGCCCGCCTGCCATCATCCCGCATGCAGGCACATGAACCACGGCACGTTGCATTTGCACAGAACAGCCCACGATATTCTGCCGGCACGCTGGCCTCGGCCTGCTTGCCACACTTCAAATTGCATGCTCGACAGGCAGCGCTCCCGCTGGCCCCGCTGCCGCGATGCACATAGACATGTTTCTATAGATGTAACCACTGCTCCAAAACGCCCTTGTTCTCGGCGGGGCCACGCACGCCATGCCTGCTGTGCTGGCTATGGGCGTGCGGCCCGCCTCTTGTGTCCATCCGAGCCCGCTGCGAAACCCCAAACTCCCCTTTGCTGCAGCTTCATCCATCCAGCTATTTCTGCACCATGTAGTCGTACAATCAACCCTCGCCCCGTGTGCTCAGCCGCTGGCGCGCGTGTTGAGGATGAGGGCGACAATCAAGCTGGCGGCGTTAGCACGTGAGCACTGCCGGCATGCATATGCTGGAGACGTACCCGTAGAGCCCCAAGACTTCGGCAAAAATGAGAATGAGCACCATGCCGACGAAGATTCGCGACTGGCGCATGAAGGAGCGCACGCCCTGCTGCGGTTAGCCTCTGCTCGGCGCTCCGTCTGGCGGCTGCACCCACAGCATCTCCCACGATTCCGATGGCGTAGCCTGCAGCGAGGCCCGACAGACCAACAGACAGGCCGGCGGCCATGTGCATGAATCCAGCATACAGCGAGTACGTGTTGTTGGGCGGCGGCTTGATGTCGCTAGCGATGAGCACCGAGATGACGAGCGAGTAGACGGCCAGAATACCCGACATGACAATGGGAATCAGAGACTGGCCATGTGGTTAGACGTCGCCCAGAGCGAGTTTGCAGGCCTTGCAGCGCGGCGCACCTTCATGATCAGGTCGGGTCTGCACGTGCCGATGCCAGCAATGCCGATGCCAGCTTTGGCGGTGCCATAGGCAGCTCCGGCGCCTGTTCGCATTAGCTCCTGTGCTGCTCGACGACGCGTCGGGAGGGTGTCGTACATCCAAAGATCATCTGGCGCGCGCGCGGGTTAGTTGGCCAGCTTACACTACACAGGGGCGCCGCAGCTACTCACAGCAAAGGCGATGCCGCTCTGCGTGGCGAGGTCAGCGATGAAGTCATTATCCAGCAGCAGCACCACTCACCATGCCGAAAAAGGGCGCGAAGCTCGGGGCGAGCTCGTTGGAAGACATGGCGGGTGCGAGGCGGGCGACGCACGAGGGGGAGGACAAGGGGAGGGCGGAGGAGGGCAGCAGCAGCGTTGGCAGCAGCACGCGGGACGGGCGAGGTGAAACCAAGGTCGGGGGGTGTGGATGCGTCGAAGACAGTCGGGATGGGCGTGCGGGCGTTTGGTGAGGGCGAGGGAGGGCGCTGCACGCCAAGCGCATCCCGGTCCAACACCTGCACCACCGCCATTCTCCCCAACGTCGCGAGCTGCTGCTAGCAAAGCCGGCCTGCGCTCCCCTCAGCCAACGCTACCCCATATTCTCTGCCACCCAACCCGCCCCCCATTGCCTCCCGCCAAGCGCCGCACAACACCACGCCCGCCGCCCGCTGCGAGCTCTCTCCCTCCCCCTCCCCGACCTTCCTCCCTCCCTCCCCCCTCCCCCCCCCCTCCTCTCTCCCTCTCTCTCTGCCTCTCCCGGCCGCTCAACGGGCCCCTACCTCGCCCTCTCCCCTCCGCCGGGCGGCCTGTTCCCTCAACTGCCGGAGTCGTTTGCCCTGTCCTGACCCTTCGCTGCAACACCCCGCCGCCCTGCCCGCCTCTCTCTCCCTCTCTCTCTGCCCGCCGCCGCCGCCGCCAGCGCCAGGCATCTCTGCGTCGAGATAAGCACAACTCGCAGTGTCTCTTTTTCCATCCTAGCCTGCAGTGCTCCCGACTCGTGCGCCACCCTTTGTGTTCGGCTATCTGCCGCCGCCCACGCCCTGCTATCAAAACGCCCACGCCCACCGCCCGCCTCGCCCACCAGCACGGCGGATGCACGCGACAGGCTAGAGCCGCTGTGGACTGAAGAGACATGGCCGACTACGGCAATCAGCAGCGGCCGGACTATGCGCGCGGCCCCAACCATGGCCAGCCCACGGGCGCAAGGGAAACGGCCTTTACAAACATCTTCGGCGCCAGTCCCGCCATGGCTGGCCGCTCGCAGACCATGACCTCGCAGTCACACAGAAACATCCCCGACCGCGCGGCCACAATGTCGAGCCAGACGGCTGATATGATGCAGCGCGCCCCGCCCATTCGCCAGCCCGTCAATGGCTACGATCGTCGTCCTCACCCACAGTACGATCCGCGCACGGGACCAGGTCTCGGAGAGCAGCGCCCCATAGATCCGCCGAATGGTTTTAATCGACCCATGCCGAACGGCTACGGCCAAAGCCCACGCTTCCCAGACGGGCCTCAGCAACCGCAGCGTCAGCCCCAGCCGCAGTATCTACCTCAACCGCTGCGTCCTGAGCGCCAGCCCTACGGCCAGCCCCGGCGATTCGACCCGAGAACCTCTCCTCCTGGCCAGCCCCCTTACAACAAGCCCATCCCCAATCGCTTTCCTGGCCATCCTGGCCCAGCCATGAACTCCGACCCGTACCGCTCCCAGTCGCTGGCCCTGAACCCGCGCCCGCAGTTCACCCCTGGCGGCCCTTCGCACCCCTCGCAAGCAAACACGTTCCGCCAGCAGCCCTACATGAACCACATGGCCAGGACCACGGCACAGGGACGCGTGGTGCCCGAGCGGCCCGACGAGCGAACAATGTCCATGACCTCGTACACAAGAGACCCCGAGCACACGCAGACAATGAGCGGCAGGATCATACCAAACCGAAGGCGAGAATCTGGCGATTCTGAACAGTCGTCCGGCAACGCAGGAATGCCGCCCAACTCCAGGAGCGTAAGCCAAGGCAGCATGCCAAGTCAGTCGCGAACCATGTCAATGGCTTCTACTATTGTGCCTCCTTCCGAGCGCACCAGCACCATGACTTCGATCAGCTCTCGTCCAGACTCGTCGCAGACGCTGGCAAGCAGCTCCAGCAACAACCGCACTTCGAACCAGTCGATGAACTCACTGGCACCAGCACAGCAAATGCCTGCTGCTCAGCGCCGAGCGCCCTTGGTCTATCCCGCCCTGCTCTCCCGCGTCGCCGATACCTTCCAAGACCGAGTGGCTCTCTCCGAGAAAGAAAAGGACGGTCTTGTGTACAAGAGTGCCTTTACTGGCGCAGATGCGGTGGACCTCATATCCTTCATTATCAAAACTACCGACCGTAATCTAGCGCTCCTCCTGGGCCGGTCCCTGGATGCGCAAAAGTTCTTCCACGATGTGACGTACGCCCACCGCCTGCGAGATTCGACAAACGAGATATACCAATTCCGCGAGACAATGGTCGAGGACAAGTCTGAAATCAACGGAGTTTTTACTCTGCTGACCGAGTGTTACTCGCCCACGTGTACGCGTGACCGTCTGTGCTACTCAATTGCCTGCCCCCGCCGCCTGGAGCAGCAAGCCCGTCTCAACATGCGCATTCAGCCCGGTCTTAAACGCGAGGAGTCGAGGGCAAGTTTGCACGAGGACAAGGACCAAGAAGAGCAGAAACTGTGGATCAACACCGTGCCAAAGGAGATTTCGGATAGTGTCTCGGAGAAGGAGCAAAAACGGCAAGAAGTCATTTCTGAGCTCATGTACACCGAGCGCGATTTCGTAAAGGATCTCGAGTACCTGCGCGACTTCTGGATGAAGCCTCTGCGCAACCCTGCAACATCTCCCATTCCAGAGCATCGCCGCGAAAAGTTTGTCCGCACCGTCTTCTCAAATTGCCAGGAGGTCTACATGGTCAATTCCCGCATGGCCGAACAACTCACACGACGCCAACAGAAGGAAGCCGTGGTCCGCAACATTGGAGACATCTTCCTCGAGTATGTTCCGCATTTTGCACCCTTCATCAAATACGGCGCGAACCAGCTCTTCGGTAAGTACGAGTTCGAGCACGAAAAGCGCACCAACGCTGCCTTTGCCAAGTTTGTCGATGAAGTGGAGAGGATGAAGGAGTCGAGAAAGCTAGAGCTCAACGGTTATCTTACGAAGCCAACCACCAGGCTGGCTAGGTACCCACTGCTCCTGGAGAACATTGCCAAGTACACGGCGGACGATAATCCAGACAAGGAGGATATTCCCAAGGTCATTAGCATCATCAAGGATACTTTGTCAAAGGTCAACATTGAATCCGGAAAGGCGGAGAACCACTTCAACCTCATGCAGCTCAACAAGGATCTCAAGTTCAGGCCTGGAGAGTTTGTCGATCTGAAACTGACAGACGAGAACCGACAACTGGTGTTCAAGGGCACCTTGAAGAAGACGCCGACGGAGACAACTGGCGACATTACCTGCTACCTCTTCGACCATGCCGTCTTGTTGGTCCGCGCAAAGACGGTGAACAAGCGCGAAGAACAAAAGGTGTACAAGAAGCCGATACCACTGGAGCTTCTTGTCATTACGCAAATGGAAGAAGTCAACCCCAAGCTGGGCATTGCCAAGCGGCCGTCGGCAAACTTGATTGCTGGCAAGGCGATTGCTGCTGCAACCCCCAAGAATAACGATCCCAAACAGCAAGGCTACCCAATTACCTTCAAGCACCTTGGCAAGGGCGGATACGAGTTGACTCTATTTGCGAGCACGCCAATCTCGCAGCAAAAGTGGATGGAGCATATTGATGCGCAGCAACGAAGTTTGAGAGAGCGCAGCAACATCTTCACAAAGACCATTGTCAACGAAGGCTTCTTCTCCCCTACCATCAGGGTCACCTGCGCTGTTCCCCTGGGTAAGTACATTTCTGTCTTGTTCCAGGTTTTCTTACTAATACTAGGCAGACGGTGGTCGCAAGCTGGCCCTTGGTACGGATGCCGGTGTGTATATCGTGGAGCGCAAGCCAAAGGATGCTTCGATACGTCCCCGTCGCGTCCTGGACTGCAAGGGCGTCACCCAGATCGAGGTCCTCGAGCAACATGCTATTGTGCTGGTCCTGGCCGACAAAACACTTTACTCATACTCGACCGATGCCCTGGAGCCCGACGAGTCGCAAGCCATGGTCAAGCGTCCACGAAAGATTTGCCATGCCAATTTCTTCAAGGCTGGCATTTGCATGGGTCAACAACTGGTCGCTGCGGTCAAGACGTCGGCACTGTCGACTACGATCAAGGTGTACGAGCCAAAGGAGCAGATGGGCAACAAGAACAAGAAATCTGGTTTCGCAAAGATGATGCTTTCAACGGGTGGAGCCGACCAACTCAAGCCCTACAAAGAGTTTTACATTCCCACCGAATCCACGTCGATGCACTTTTTGCGATCCAAGCTTTGCGTTGGTTGCGCACGTGGCTTTGAAGTGGTCAGTCTGGAAACGCTCGAGACGCAATCACTGCTCGACCAGGCCGATACATCGCTCGACTTTGTTGTCCGCAAAGAGAACATCAAACCAATTCATCTTGAGCGCATGGCAAGCGAGTTCCTGCTATGCTACGCCGACTACTCGTTTTTTGTCAACCGCAACGGCTGGCGAGCGCGACCCGACTGGAAGATTATTTGGGAGGGCACACCACAAGCCTTTGCTATTTTCAATCCTTACATCCTTGCTTTCGAGCCTAGCTTTATTGAAATTCGGCACATGGAGAGTGGTGGCCTGGTGCACATTATTACAGGAAAGAACATTAGGTGGCTACACACATCGACAAGAGAGGTATGTCATGCAATGATAATTAACTCAAACCCAAGGCTGACGTGTCCAGATTTTGTACTCATACGAGGACGAGCTCGGCAACGATGTCATTGCCAGTCTGGACTTTTGGCAAACAGCAAATGGAAACAAGCAATCACTCGACGTCCAACGCGCTTTCGAAAAGAGCTAGGTGCGAGGCCAAGATTTGCACATCAATTAAACGTCGAGCCTCTACCCTCGAACACACGAGTACCAAAGAAGCAGCAGCAGTACCTTACGTAGTCATCTGTGCTGCAACGACACCACCACATTTGCCGACGACTATTGTGCAGTTTCCTGCATCACACGAAAAAGAAATCACGCAAGGAAGCGTGGCACATGCCTCGACCAAGCCGCGGGCGGTGGTGACAATGGAATTTTCTCGCAGTTTATTCTTTGTCCCTATCCCATTTCCAGCAACAGCATCATCATCAAGAAACGAGAGATTTCTCGATTACTGCAGAGGAGGAAGGGAAAGGAAGGGAAGGGAGATAGTAGAAGCTTACATTCTCATACCAATCACACAACCTCTCAGCAGAAAGCTTATCCGGGTTTAAAATGCGAGACGAGACCCAGAGGATACCGCGGGGCATGTTGAATCGATATATCTCCCTTTCTTTTCTCGTGTGCTTGCTTGCTTGCTTAGACTGCTCTCTTGATTCCGTGGATACCAGATATATCCCGATCCGATCTGAGGCGAGGCGAGAAGAGAGAAAGAAGAAAGAAGAAAGAAAGAAGAGGAGGAAGAGGAAGAGGACAGCACGTCAAGTAACCAACCAACTAACCAAGTACTCCTAGTACCAAAGAAGAGATAACCAAGCGGGGCAAGCCGAATACTTGTATATATATATATATATCTGTATGTCTCAGAGAGAAACCCCCCCCACTACTTACTATGTAGCTGTATAAAAAGGCCAAAAAAAGATGCATACCCCGCGTCCTAGCGCGCGCGGAGCCATATACTCACACGAGGGAAAAAAAAAAGATAAAACCGCGCCATCCGATCAAGTACGAGTCATTTTTTTTTGCAACAGACCAGGGGGGTTTCGGCGGTAAATGTGTGTGCATGCACACAGCTGTTCTGGTAAAAATGGCAAAGTATGTAGAAGTGGGGATAAACACACCCACTCTTATTTGTTCAGAAGAGGGGGTGTCAAGCGCGGCGGCGGCAACGGCAAGGTACGACACGTCAGTAAAAGAGGGGGGGGGGAAGGACGGGAACATGGATGCAGGGAATACAGACGGGTGGTACCGTGCGGATATCCCGGAGAATTGACCTTTTATGTCGCTTACCGTTACCGTTGGGCTGGGAGAATGGTCGGCTAGAATGGCTTCAGAGTGACATACATACGTATGTGTGTGTGTGTGTGCGCACTGTCGATATTGAGCCGTTGAGAATTGGGGGGAGGGGGGGGAGACAATGGGTATCGGACCGACTTGGCCATACTGGGGAGAACCACCCGACCCGCTTCATCATCAGACCTTTGTCCCGTGTTCTTGCTTTGCACAATAGGCAAACAAGAAGCAATTGATCAAATATCGCTGAATCGCTTCTTCAAATTATGCTTCAACCTCGCTACCTTTATCCACCCATCCCGCCAACACATGATGGTTATCTCGGTCCAAGATCAATCACAGCGCTAGTCTAATATGATACAAATAATCTCCTCTCAAAAAAACGTCGGGGGAGAGAAGAAGAGTAATAGTGAAGTGAGGCTAACATGTAGGGTTTCTAGGAACACATCCAAGAGGTTCTCGTGCTGCCTGGTGCGCCGTCGGCGGTGAGGTACGAGGCTGTGCAGCCTGTGCCTGTTGAGGGTGTGTATAGTAATGAGGCGCCGTGGCTGGTATGTGTATTCTCTCTATCTATCTCTACATCTCTTGTGTCTACTGTTTCTTTTTGGGGGGGTTTTTTTTTCGCTCCAACTTGTCTTTCTACTAGAAGCGACGTCTTGTTTTTATACGTGTAAAGCGGGATTTCGAGATTTACAAGGGGAGAGAGGGGAGAGGAAGAGGGGGGGGGTTTCATGGAGGGCACGAAAGATGGAGTTGAGTAGTCTTCTGGTCTTTTCTCTTTTTTCTGTCTTTTTGGTCTCGTTCATCCTTCTCTCTCTCCCTTTCCACTCTCCTACCCCGCCTTGCGTAACGCTACACAAAACATGCTCCAATGCATCAATGCCAGCACTAACCTAACCCCCAGGTCGTCTACGAGATGCCAGACATTGAATACCGCAGCTCTGACGCTTTCCTCAACCTCTCTGTGCGGAACCCGCCGCCCAAGGAACTCATTGATGAGATTTACATGAATACACGCTTCGATGTTAGGTTCTATGAGGAAAAGCAAGTTGTCGAGGGGCAGGAGAAAGGAATGTCTTTTTTTGGTCCCTTCTCGAATACAACTCCCTTCGCACAGTGATATTCCCAACACATAAACCACTATTCCAGTTCAGCTCCCATCAAGAAAACAGAAAGAAGAAGAAAAAAAGGGGGGGTAATACTCACATCAAAACATCAGCTCCAGCAACTTTCGTAATATCCAGCGCCCTCCACCCAGCCTCAGACGCCGACTCGCTCACCTCATTCGACTCATGGTACCGCGAAGAATACCTCCCCGCGCTCTCACGCATCCCCGGCTTCGTGCGCTCACGCCGGTACGAAGTCGCAACCGCAATGCAACTATCGCAGTTCCAGTACATCGACGAGCTGGACAAGGCACCGCGGTTCCTGGCGCTGCACGAATTCAGCGGCGACGCGCTGCCGTGGGAGGCGCTGAAGGAGAGCCTTAGCACGGACCGCGCGAAGAAGGTGATTGGCGCGCTCGAGAAACAGGATATGGGCGTGTACAAGGTTAGGCGCGTGTATCCTGAGAGCGAGTGGGGTCATGTGGGCAAGTAAGGGGGGGTTGAATTTATGGGTTTCTGCGTCGTATAGGCATGTGTGTGTGTATGGCTTTGAAGTAGCAGGATGATATCATGAGTCAATCAATCATCTTAGTAGCATATGATATAAGGGTGATGGATAATTCCAAAATGGAAAGTATACCTCCTCGCAAATCAATATCCATCTTTCCAAACATTACATCCAGTACACATACACCCCCAAACCCCCCCCCTATCTCTACTATCACACAGCACCCCACCTCTCAGCAAACCAATCACGGTCTGCATCCGGATTCCTCTCATACTCGCTCCTATCGGCCAGATACTGCGCCTGCTCCTGGCCAAACACATGTGCAATCCACGCAAACGCCAGATCCATGCCGGCCGAAACACCGGAGCTCGTCCAGATATTGCCGTCGACAACCCATCTGGCTTTGGGGATCCAGTTGACACGGGGGTGTGTGGCTTTGACCTGTAGTGTATTGGGTTAGTTGAAAACGACAGCAACTTTCTTTTTATTGTAAGTAATTCCTGGATGTGTGAGACAGGGTGGGAGGGGGAGGAAAGGCACAGAAGTTGAAATCAAGACCAAAAAGAAAAAGCAGATAAAGAGAAAAGAGAAAAGATCCAAAAAAACCCCCCCCGGTAAATAAACTCACCTCCCCAAAAACGCTCTTATTCGTCGTCGCCCGCCGTCCATGCAGCGCCCCTGTCCGCGCTAAAATCTCACTTCCCGTACAAACCGTAAGTATCCATTTCACTTTGGCTATTCGCATCCCCTCGCCTTCCTCTCCCCCTCCCCCCTGTCCACTCCCTTCCTTCTCCCCCCTTCCCAACCCCAAGCCCCTCAAAAACGCCACAACATGACCCATATACGCCTCACTCTCCTCCCCCCTCGCGCCCAACCCCCCAGGTAGCAACACGACATCGATATCATCGGGAGCCGTGGCAAATGTATGTGTTGGTAAGAGTGATTGAGCGAAAAGCGGGCTGTGGGCGCGCTGCATGGCGTTGTGTGTTGAGACGGGGTCGAGGGTTGAGGCTAGGATGTAGAGCGTGATGGGGTGGTCGTAGGATAGCATGTTGAAGGCGTCGAGGGGGCCGGCGGCGTCGAGGAGTTGGAAGCCGGGGTAGAGGATGAGGGCGAATTTGGAGGGGAGGGGGTTGCATGGAGGAGGTGGCATGGTTGTGATGGTGATGAAGGGGGGGGGGGGTTTCTTCGCAAGTTCTGTTATGTTCGGATTGATATTTGTTTGTTTTGCTTGCGTCAGAAGGTAATAATGATGTTGTGGATGATATGCTTTGTACAGTTAACTATTAGTCAGCAGCGAGGTTGTACCCCATGGGGAAACGGACTAACGCCCAGACAGCGGTTTCCGCACGCGGATCAAGTTTGTGAGAGCTGGAATCGAGCCAAAAGATGTAAAACGAATACTACGGCTGTACATTTGCTTAGCACAAAAATACTGAATCAAGCAACATCAAGCGAGCCGTGACACTAATAGATTCAATCGGAGGATCAGATACGAACTACACTACACCATTCATGTGCACGTCCTGTTCATCTTGCTGCTGCACTGTAAGCATCTGTCGTGCCTGGTCAATTCTCTCCTTGCTCAGAACGTAACTCTTTGGAAGATCCCCCTTTTGTATCATCTGTGCTTGAACGGCATTGATGTCTTGGCCACTGCTCTCCGCAAGCAGCATATCTACAACAGCCTTTCCACACAACGTGCCGTTGGGCATACCATGTCCAGTATATCCACCGCAAAGCCACAAGCCCTCTTGTTCTGGGACCTTGCCAACCCAGGGATGGTTGTCACGTGAGTATCCCATGATGCCGGTCCATTGTGCAGCAGCCTTCAGCTCTTGCATTCCTTCAGTCTTTCCGTCCAGTTGGAGCACTTTGAGCAGGGCGCCGCGGAGATAGGTAGCGGATCCTTCATCAATGATGCTGTCATCTGAGGTGCCTAGACTGGGGAAGTGTCCGGCTCCGCGGCCGCCACCAAACATGAGATGACCGGCCGGGTTTGGCACACCCTCGAAAGGTCGCTGGATAAGGTAGTCGTCATTGTTGGCAGGCTGTCCGAGCGCTGCGACCATGCCGTAGGAGTTTGGAAGAATGGTCGATCCTTCTGGTGGGAAGAGCGCAGACATCTCACCACGGCATGGAACAATGAGGTCGGCAAAATGCGGTAGAAGAGCTGACGTGTAGCCGTTTGTCGCGAGGACGACTGTCTTGCTTCTAATGGTACCACGGGGCGTATGCAGCGTGTGTGTTCCCTCAGAAGAAGTAATCTCAGTAACCGGGGTTTTCGTCTGAAGATTGATTCGGCCGTCCTTTATCAGCTTTTGTAGAATGAATGCGACCAACTTGTATGGCCACAGACTCCCAGCACCTTCACTCAGTGTTGCTCCCAAGCAGTCAGGCGAGACACGATGCTTCTTGAGTTCCTCCTTGTCCTTGATTATCGTGACCTTTGATGCGATTTCGGGTGCAATCTTGCGAAGATGGTCAACCTCGTGCTCAGCCTCCTTGAGCGCAGCCTCGGTCCAAAATGTGCGGCAGCCGATCACGTCGCGCCATTCGCAGGGCACGCTATTGTCTTTTATGTAGGATCGTACAGCGGCGACATTCTTGAGTTCGAAATCGGCCACGTCGCTACCACGGTCGAAGAGGAGGGGCTGGTAGTGCCCGCCATTCTATCATCATTCGTCAGCTGGATTCACCACGCCGGTGACCACACATGTATGCACAGTCGTGTGTACAGGCGAATACACTGAACGCTGCCGACTTACCCTCCCAGTAGCACCCCAACACGCCTCCCTCGCCTCCAGCATTACAACGCTCTTGCCATTGGCCCTTTCGTCTTCAGCCAAGTACCTGGCTGCACTTGTGCCCGTGATACCGGATCCTACAATGACAATGTCGGCCTCAGCAGGCAGGTCTTCGGTGGTACGATGGCCAATAAGATAATCGTTTGGCTCGCTGTGCCAGAAGGAGTTGGATGACGTGGGCGTCGGAATGGTGGCGCGTTGGTGTCTCATGATGCGATGGTTGATGCCTGGATGGAACTGCAGGACTGTGAAGGAATCAATGTGGATCGTGCTCGACGCTTATATGCGCATCGCTTCTTCAATCCTGGAGGACAAGCAATGCAGTGTGACGAATAGTGCTGGCAGATATCGGAATGTTGCTTGTACTGATGCCTGTGCACCTTACGGCGGCGTTGCGGAGGGGCAGTGGATAGTGGGTCGTGGATCGGAATAGCTACCTAGCTACCTGCGGTATCATGCTGGAGCTCCGATAACAGGACCAACGCGTCTCGGGACGGTACAGACGGTTGTAAACGTCGGGATCATTATCGCCATCAAAGGCGCACAGCGCACGCAGAGACACAATGGTGCTCTAGACGTGTCAACGGAATTGGGCGATGGGGGTTCTGGTGCCTGGTCATGACGGCACCAGAGCTGTTTGTTGCCGCGAGTCAGTAGGGCTGATTATGTAAAGGGGCAGTGCAGTCTACAGGGACTTCGGATCCCCAACTTGGTGAAGTACACAACATGCCATGTCGCATGTCATGGCTGCAAGACGAATGAGTCAACATGGGAATGGGCTATTTCAGCCGCAGCCATGAACATGACCATCCGATGCACTGCGCCTTTTACGTTGTATGTCATCAAGTTAAATTTTACTACGTCAAAGCTAATATACAACATGCAGATACAGCAAAAGAAAGACAAGATAGTATGCCGTGGCGAAGCCAGCTCAAGCGGCCTTGGTGTCCCCCGCATTAATCCATGATTGGTTACATTCGTCGTCATTCTTGGCAGGCAGCCAGACACTTGCAGCTTGTCAACAAGTGCATTCCCATTCCCGTGGTACTGTTGCCTGGCCAGATCTTGTCGTTTTACTTGCGCCGTTGGAGAAACTCCTTGGCCGAGGCCGTGACCGAGTAGCCGTTGAAGAGCCAATCGTTGGAGTGGCGTCCCCTCCACGGGTCGCTTCCGCTGGTGTTTCTCCTGGTTGTGCTCTGGGTGCTCAATCTGGCATTCTGTACTGGCGTGGGTGACGGCCGTGATGTGCTGGTGGAATGTTGGGAGTGGACTGGTGGCATGGGCATTGGCGACTTTGTGCGGTTGTGTAATGTGGCGTCGCGGGAGCGGCTGTGAGAGCGGCCGCGAAGACGGGCTGAGAGGGCACCGAAGAAAGACTCTTCGGTGCGATTGCTGTGGCAGGATGGAGAGCCTGGCAGCGAGAATTGGCCGGCTGAAGAGCGCGACTGTTGCGAGTCTGTTGTGTTTGTGCGGACAGGCAGAGGCATGGGCTGGCTGGGGGTGGCCATGGTGGTTGATGTCAAGGGCGCGGGTAGGAGAGACGAGAGAGAGAAAGAGAGAGAGATGATGGTCGAGGGCGATGCTGGCGCGAAGGATTGAAGATGACTGCAGACGGGATGAGGCTCCCACAGCAGGCCGTCAGCCGCATTTATAAGGCGTCGTCGACTCTGGTGCTCGTTTCCTCCTGATGGTGGTCGTGGAGCCCGTGTGCTTGGCGCATATTCACGACTCAATCAAGGTGACGGTGACGGGCGGCGCTGGTACGCGGCGGCGGCCAATCAGCGGGCGCGAGTCGTATGCGGGGCACTGCAATCACCGCGCTCCTCAGCCATTCTCACCGACTCCCCACTTCCGAGCGTCCGTCTGGCGCTGCAACGCCAACGCATCTAAACAAGGTGCCAGACCTCACTGGGACTGTCACTGCGCCATAGGGCTGCAAAGCGCCAATCGCCGCCCGCTGTCTGCCGTCTGAACCACGAGTTGGGGTCACCGGTTTGGGGGGTTGCAACACGGCTGCCTGGCTCGCATGATTCGAAATTTCCCTTGTGCTCGCCGCACTCCGCATCCTCGCCTTTGCCCACCAGCAGAATGGCCAGAGCGTATTACAGCGGCGGGGCCCTGCGATACAAGTCCTCCAGGACTCTCTCTCTCACACTTACTCACACACGCACGCCTTATCAGCGCTCACGCGAGTCCTCCATTTCCCCAGCCCCACGACGCGCTGCTTCGTCCCGCCCGCATACAACATTTCGGCCAGTCCGACAACACTATAAATGGCATCACGACAGCATAACGACGCGGCACAGCGTCCGCCAGAACCTACTTTTGTGTAAAATTATCTCCCCACCTGCGAAACTTCATCTCGACCAGCTTATTCATTCATGCGAAACATGGCAAGATTGCTGGTGCTGCCCTAAGGGAAAACTATCCTTTGACCCCTTGACCCCTTGCCCTTGTGCTCTAAAAAAAGACTTGGGCGACAAGGCGTGGCGTACGTCAGATGGTAAAACACCCCACACAACCTTATGATGCCTATGCTATGAACAAAAAAAAGACAACCACTATTTGTCTGACCAACTCCCGGCGCTGCCCCCCACCAAAGTCAGGGCAAAAAAATCACAACGTTGCAATCGAGAGAAGGATGTTGTGCATCCTCCGGGAGTCGAACCCGGGCCAATTGCTTGGAAGGCAATTATCCTACCGTTGGACCAAGAATGCTTGATGGAAGAGAATGAATTTGTGGAATGAATATACTGCATAATGACTACTCCTGTGCTCGGCCATGGACAAGTCATCCCCTTGGCGGAGCTCATCAGAACTGCCAGATGCCGCTAAATCTGATGCAGCTCTAGCGCCGGGACCCACTTCTTACCATTGCTTCGCATTGCTTGTTCAACAGACCGGCGCATATTGTGTCAGCTCATGCATCTAGTCCGAAGGCATTGTGTAGTCTATCGGGCCTGTCCCGAATGCAGCTAGTGGTCAGTTTCGTGCGAGGGCTTCTCGCTCCACATTGTAGTTTCAGCTGTTTTTGAACTGCGTAAAAGGGTAAGTCGGTGTGAGTGAATGCGAAATAGACGTATTGGTATAGACGCATGCCAGGAGTAGCGATTCCTTAGTCCACTTTCCTCGTTGCCTCTCCGTCCTTTTTCTCCACGCCCCTACTTTCATCCCGCTTCTCTTTCTCTCCTAGATCCCTATCCCCTCCGTTGTCTTTTCTATCCTCTTCCTCCTTCTCCCCCACACCTCTCCCCTCACTCACACCCACCCTCCAATAAACCACCATCCCATTCAACGCATTGGCATGCTTCTCAAACTCCTTTAACCTCAGCATTTCCCTTGCTACAGCCCACCTCCTGCCCACCTCATTACACTCGTCGAGCCTCTCCCTCTTCGCCCGCGTCTGCGCATACATAGCGTAGTCGTCTAGAATCTCGTTGCCCACATACAAGACGGGATCTCGGCCAGCCAGAAACTTCGGCAGCAGCAGGAACCAATCGACGAACGGTGAGTAGACAAACGACGATGCTGTGATTTTCGATTCGAGATGCGAAGATAGTGACGTAATGGAGAGGAGAGAAAGGAACTCGGTGTCTAGTGGGGTGAAAGCCGGGTCTTGGGCGTAGCATGGGATTTGCTTGTTGGTAGTTTCTTTCGTGACTGCATTACATATTAGTACCCTACCAAAGGTATAGTGCGAGAAAGGGAGAGTTAGAAGGATATTTGGATGTATTGATGGAGAAGAGAAGAACTTACGGCATCCCACAACATCAACAAACAACACAAGCTGCCACAGACTCCTCCACCGATGCGCCCAATCCCGACTAAAACTCCCTATGCCTATACACACAGCCTCTGTTACACCCCAGCCACACCCTCCCTCGCCATCTTTACTCTTCTCCTCAACAATCTGCTTAACCTGCGCCGCAAGCGCCGTGTCTTCCCACCGCTCCTGCAACATTTTGAATTCTGCCAGCAATTTTTCTGTCGTCAGGTCTTGTACCATGTCTGGCAGTGAGCCTTGCTTCTCTTTTTGCTCGCTACTGCCGAGCGATACGTTGGCGAGACCGTGGGCAATAACCGTCCAGCCATCGTCGCTTTGGATCTGTTTGCGTTTGACGCGACCTCTACTTCTTCCACCCATTTCCGGGTTTCCTTCTCTTGTTGATGTAGGTTCTGCTGGCTACTTTGCGTGTAGCTTCTAGTCGTTGCGCATCCTACCGATTGCGTAAGCGCATGGCTCGCGCGAAAAACATGTTGTGCCACTGACTCTGATTCTTTCACTTGATTATATGCAGATATGCGGGGTGAACTTGCTGCGCACGTGAGAAGGCTGAATAATGACTCGGTCTGTGAGCAGAGTAGTGCATGCAGTTGGCCTAAGTAGAGGAAAAAAGAATGCTTGCCTACTTGGGTACGTACCTAAGTGGGGCAGCAACACCAACACCATCAAGTACTCAATTATGATACATGCATACATGCCATTTGTGTTATAGCTTCTTCATCACTGCTTATTCTCCATACTGCACTAAGTGAATACAAGTCAAGTCAAGTGGAGAAAATTTAGAATATTCAATCCAGTAATTCTTGCCGTAAGTACAAAGACAAAAATACAACAAAGCTTTCAGAAGCCTACTTACCAACGTATATTCTGCATACAATAGAGCGCTGAGTAGACAATTACTTCTACGCTATCCAACACATCCATCCATATATACCTCAAAAAACCCCACCCAACTACCACCTTTCCCATCCTACTACCCGCCCGTACCCACACCCACGCCTCCCCCATACATACACACCTACCCGACGCATGACTCGTACAAGCGCTTATTTACTAGTTGCAGTAATTCAGTCCTCGATCCCACCTTGAAGCATTAGGCCCTCCCACCCACACGCCACAGCACGCCGCACACGTGCACGTTTGGGCTGCCGTTTCCCCGCACACGTTGGAACGCCTCTCTCCGCCTTCCACTCCCTCAGAAAATGTAAGAATAGAAATAAAGACATCAGAGGGTAAGCCACGCCGCTGTTAGACAGGCACAAGCGGCAAGCATAGGGAAAGGGGCGAGTCGGCGCAGCCACCCGTGTGTGTGTGTGTGTGTGTGTGTGTGTGTGTGTGTGTGTAGATCAGGCGTTCCATTTACGCCTTATTTATTATTTTTTTCTCCTCTGCCCATCTTTGTACTACTTAGCTATTCATTTTTCAAGAACTATAAAGGCCAGTATACGAAAGAAGTATTCTTTTTTTTTAGAAACTGCTATTCTGGGGCTGAACGAATAAGACGCCTGCTACGTATATTTACCTGACAAAGCATGCAAAGCGGAGAGAAGAAGAAGAAGAAGAAGAAGAAGAAGAAGAAGAAGAAGAAGAAGAAGAAGAAGAAGAAGAAACGCATGCCTAATTACAGTGATGTGTAACAACAACCATGTCCGTCACATTGATAACAGTACGAAATTCAGGACCAACAAACCATCATTGACCTATGCTCTCGTGTCTCCTTCTTCTCCTCCTCTCTCTGTTTTGTTCAACCAAGAAAAAAATATATACTTGTATTCTCGTACAAGAATGGTACATGTGTATAGAGAGAGTACTTGGTCAATTCAAAGTTCATGTTTTATATTTTATTAGTAAATGCCTAGTTGAATGATAGACTTTAGTACTGGATGCAAGAGGGATTACAGCTAGGTTTGAGAAGGCGTGGACGGATCTAGGCGTAAGTAACCTCCCTCCCCGTGGGTAGAACATCCCACCGCGCAGAACCATGAAGATCTTCCAGCTAGACTAGCGAATGGGTATAGGGTTCCCATCATGGGTATAGGGTAGGGTAGGGTCGCACAGATGTTAGGTAGAGATAAGGTTAGGTCACACAGACTATAGGTAAAGGTAGGGTTAGGTAGACTATAGCGTAGGTAGGGGTAGAGTTAGGTTACATAGATGCTAGGTAGAGATAGGGTTAGGTTTGTAAGGGGCTGCGCTCTAGGGAGCAATCGCGAGGTATACAAGAGGTTGTATTCGATAGAGAGCTATAGA